AGCACGATTTGTGGCGACAATATGCGGGGAGATGATGGTCGATTCACTAGAGCATTCACTGCGAACTTTGGAGGGGGTTGGTTTACTCGTGCTGAGTTGGCTGGAATTGTGTATGGTTTGAAACTTGCTTGGGAAGAAGGGGCTAGGAAAGTTATTTTGCAGACAGATTCTTTTACTACTAAGTCTCTGATGGGGACCGTGACACCACAAAATCCATACTACACTCAGGTTGCAGAGATCCGGTGATGGCTTAATCGTATATGGACCATTAGGATCAACCATGTGTTCTGCAAGGCAAACTTTGTCGCTGACCATTTAGCTTCTATAGGGCACTCATATTCGATTGGGCCACATGTGTTTGATAGGCCAAGTACTAGTCTTCTGTATTGGCTATACTTTGACCATGTGGGGATTCAGACTCCCCGACTTATTTGTACTAAAATTATATTTAACACCCTAAATTTTTAAGTTTTTCGCCGTAAATTAACTAAACAGACGATTCTACCCCCAATCACTAAACAGTTGCCCCAATTCCCAAAACGCTTTGTCAGTCCATCTCCCTAATCCCTAATTGCCAATCAATCCTCGATCTCCACCTTTGTTGCTTCTCCGCCCGTCGCTTTGAGGAAGGAAAGAGAAGGTCAGTTGACTCACTCCTATTGTCACTCTAGGAAATGGCCAAGTGAAACCACTTCCTAAAGCGTAGTATAGCGGGTTTGGGTTTTAATGTCAACCCGGGTCCTAGATGTGATGACTACTCAACGAATTCTTATTATTTAGCGGTGAAACTTTAGTGCAGGTTCAAACAAGCAAAACAAGCAAAGCAATTAAACGGTTGTTTTCAAGTCAAGAGAGGTCACCCGGATATGGTTCCCCCTAGACTGCAGTTAAGCCGGATTGCAATTTACCAAGTTCAGTTTTAATGATAGTTATACTGCGAGAGGTTCTTAAGCAGTCTGAAGTCTCAACTAAAGGTCTCCAGACCCTCTCAATCTAAGTCCCCAGCGGGCGACTAACCTCCACCAGAGTAAACAGATTGAGGCCCTAACGAACCAAACCTCCACTACCGAAGTAAATTCGGTACAGAATAGTGAATTGGCTCCTCGACTAAAGTCGCCAATTCACTACCTTCAATTAAGAAGCTCTATCAACCTAGGAAGATATTCTCTTTCTAGGTTAAAGCAGAAACAACAGGAATTTGATAAGGATTCATGCCATTCAATAAATCAAACCTCAATTGAATATAATCAAATCATATAATCTGTACTTGGGTTCATACAATTAGACCTAACTTACAAATCTAGGGTTATCCATACCCAGATGAATAAGAAAACTACTCCATAGAGAGAGATGGAAAATATAGCTCAGATGCGGAAACCATACTGTGAATGATGATAATCTGCTTCTGGCGCTCAATCGGATCTTCTCCAAGCTCAAGCCGGGCTCCAATGGTGATGATGATCAAGCTAGGGCACTTGGGACCTCTGGTTCGTCACTTTCTCTCTCTAGGAATCGCTCTGACTCTCTAAAACTCGGAACCCTTTATGCTTTGGCTCAAATCTGCCTAAAAGGGCAACCCTCGGCAAAACACGGTCGAGGGCACGACCGTGCTTTGCTTTTGCCCGCCCATGCCCTTGCCACGTGTTAAAAACACGGCCACATCTTGGGGAAAACACGGTCGTGCCTAAAGTTGGACATGGCCGTATTTTGAGTCAGTCCCGCCCGTGTTTTGGGCCAGCGCAGGACAATCTTGGATCAAGCCTCGGCAGTAAAAGCACGGTCCAGGAACACGGCCGTGCTTTGGTTTAGGCCAGCCCGTGCTTTGGCCCCGGCTCGACCGTATGATTTCCAAATGCCCCGAAACTCGTGCTTAGCCTTTCCTTCGGCGTCCGGGACCTGAAATATGACAAAGTAGCACAACCTGGCGTAAAATAGGCCAAAAATACACGACTACTCCCCACAAACGGATAAGAACTAGGGGTGCAAACATGTGCAATTACATCGTTATCATCAGTCTCCACCTCTGTTGCTGCTCTGCTCTTCACCGTTGAGGAAGGATAGAGAAGGTCGAGGGGCGAGATTCTTTTCTCTCTTCTACGTCCTTGATTGGGGCAGCGAAAGGCATGCCGGTCGTCAACGGGGCGGACCGAGCAGCAGAGCAGCCGCCACGAGGAATCCCTAGGGTATTGAAAGAAGAACGCTGAAAACATAGGCAGCAAGGAATTCCTAGGGCATCGGATGAAGAACGCTGAAAACAGAGAAGGGCTCGTCAAGCTTCTACGAGGCGTCGATGAGAGGAGTAGAGAATTCGATTATGTTGTTTGGATTGCCAAATTTCATCGAAAGATTGTGAAGACGGGATTAAGGAGCTTGATACCCGCATCCTCGGCCTGTTTCTCAAGCTCCCTGTCGACGGAAGCAACCGTCACGAGGAATCCCTAGGGGGAGCGGGGTAGCAGAAGGTAGTTGCGATGACGAAGGGCGAAGATTCCAAGGACGAACGACGGTAATGGGGGAAGAATCCTAGGGCAAAATTTGGTTAGAGATTGGAAATATGTCGGGGGCAAAAACGTCAAATTGATTAAGTTAGAGCGATAAATTTAAAAAACTTAAGGCGTTAATTAATACCTTACTATTCGTATGCAATAAAGGAGCGCCCTATTCTCACCAACAAAAAAAAAAGAGGCTTTATAGAGAAGAAAACGATGAATAAACAATCGAGAAATACGAAAACAAGAAAGTGACGGGATATGAAGAAATACAAAAGGTTGGGTTGTGGTAAAGTTAGAATTTTCTTCTCTCACAAAAAAAAACCACAAACATATTCAAAAAAGTAAATTAGAACAACACAGAAAAAATATAAATATAAATAAGTTAAGCATTAAGATCAATTGATAAACATAAATAATAACCAAAACTCAGTTGGCCAACAAATTGAGTATAAAACTAATGCATTCTAATAATAAGTCTGACATTAATTAGGGAAAAAATAAAGTTTTCTATATATAAAAAATTGCCCATTGTTTACCAACAATACTCTGTAGTCTGTAGATCAATACAATTAACCTACAAACTTAGAACATTAGTTTACAGGTTGATGCACCCTTACAGTTTGGCTGGCACCCAATTGAATTGATCCGTTCTCAATTGTAAAGACACCCATCATAACACGCAACAGCTATTCATAATTCTTCTGAGGAAAGGCCCTCTCCTAGCAGCAGCAGCAGCAGCAGCTTCAGCTGACAGGCAGATGTGAACGTTAATTGCAATGCAATATTATCGTTGGCATAGTACTGACAATCTTGAAACCTGCATCGACTCTGCAACAAAGTTAAATTGAGGGAAGGGAAGGGCAGGGAAAAGCCAATAACATTGAGCTGGATTTGGTTGTGCCTGTGCTGCTGCTGGTCAAAAGACAGGTTGGAGGAGAGGTGAGAAGGCCGAAAATGTAGATGCACATTAAAAATATTACAGGCATAGAACAGTAACATGGAAATGCAAGAGAGAGAGATGATAAAATAAGTGAGCAAAAGTAAAAGCCATAACCCTGTATATGGCTGGTGGCTCTGCCTGTCGACTGTAATTACTCCGCTCCGCCATTTTATGTGCCCACCACAACTACCCCTCTGCTACAGCCATAAAAGAATGGTGGACAGAGGCAGGGCATCCAGCCAGCCAGCCAGCCACCTAGCTAGCTTGCTTGCTTGGGGGAAATGTGTTCTTGGGTCCTGTTCTTTGCTTTCCCGGAAGCCATTTCTATTTTGGACACACTGGCCATGGCCAAGTGGCATTCCCTCGTTCATGTTCTACTCTCCATCCAAGAAAGAGATCCAAATTGAGGTAACATCGATTTTTCTTGCTGTTTCTCGAGGCCAACCCCAGTCTGCAAAAGCATCATAAATAGCGCCATCTACCATCTCCAACCATACTTTAGTCGTTGGGACGGAACCCGTTCCTAGAGGGCAATGGAAGACAAAGATTTTGCAGTTACTTACTGAAAGAAGACATCTAAGAAGGACTGAGTGAGCTACTTATATTTTTTTTCTTCTATAATAAACAGAACCTTGTGATAAGAAAAACGACAAAACAATAGTCCACATCGCATAGATATAATTAGAGTCTCATTGAGCATATATAAGTAGAGCCTAGGGTTCAGTAATTAAGTGGAATGGCGGTAAGAAGCATTCATCTAGATTCTAGTCCAAGTGAATCTAACATTTCAAGAAAGTTGGGTAGTGTCGTCATTGTGTATCATCAAGCAAGGGCCAATTTTTATGTCAAAGCAATGCCGTTGTTTGTTTCCATTTTCTGGGAATCTGTTTGGTCATTCACCTGGAACAACAAATCCACTCCTAAATTAATGACAAGCTTACCAGAAGAGCATCAACCACCAACTTGCGCAGTCTCAAGTCTCAACCAGGACTCAGTGTCCAGCAAAGCTACAAGACCCAACAATTAAGTCCAATAACAAAAAATTAGAGGCCAGCATCGAAAGATAGCATATAGCAGAATGGCAACCCTCAATAGCATATTTAACTTGCAAAAGAAATCCAACCATATCATATGATTTTGAATTCACAGTTTCCACTTCTCCAACTCCAATGGCTGTTCTGGTACATGATGACCTTTTCTTAGTTACCCAAACAGCATGAAGCCCCTACAACATGGCATGTTGAGTTCAAAACAGCCCGAAGTTACTTTACAAATTTTAGATGAGTATTCAAAGTTGGGATCTGGTTAGGTACTGCAAATCGGGGAAGAAGAAATTACAGTACGAGCAGCGAGTGCAAGTGAGCTCTGTCTGTTAAGGCATCCAGAAAGAAAAGAAAGAAAAGAAACAATGTGGCATCATAAATGCGGGTGCAACGCCACCCCAACTAACCCACATACTCTCCACCAAATTACGCAATGGGGTATTTACTCTTATCGTACTTCTGTTCCACCACTTTACCATCTACCATCACCTTCTATAAAACCAAACACTTCACTCAAGCCCACTGCACCACTGCTCCTCCCTCTCTACAGACGTTCCAGCTTGCTTTCCTCCCAAGCCTAGCAACGAACAATGAGAGAGATGCAAGGGAAGCTCATCAAGCAGCAGGCTCGTAGCGAAGCAGGAGTGATGTGGGTTCTGGTAGCTGCTGCTTTGCTCTCCCACAACTTGGCCGTCCCAGTGATGGCATCCTCCCAGCTGATTGGAGACCAGAAGAACTACTACCCCCCAGATCCACATTCCAGGACTCCCCCTTCAGGTCATCTCTCTCTTTCACTCCATTGGCATCAATAGATTCAGCAAGCAGCATGCTTTTCGTAGCTAGTGTGTTTCCTTTATAACGTGGGTGCATGCAGGTTCCCACACTCCTTCCACTCCAACTCCATCGCATGGTACTTCTTCACCTCCACACCACACTACACCTTCTCATGGTCATGGAGGAGGTTACCATCCCACTCCCTCAAATCCTCCAACTGGGAACTGTGGAACCCCACCTTCTGTTCCAACTGATCCGACTACTCCATCAACTCCCCCTTCCGGAGGAGGCGGCGGATATGTCCCTTCACCTTCCCCACCAACCGGCGGAGGCGGCGGATATGTCCCTTCACCTTCCCCACCAACTAGCGGAGGCGGCGGTGGTATTCTGACTCCCCCAACTCCTATCATCGGCGGCAGCCCCCCGACCATTCCTATCATCGGCACCCCTTCTACGCCTCCATTTGTCATTGATCCAAACTCTCCCTTCTCATGCAAGTAAGTCTACTCCTTTAAAGCAAGCAAGCAAGTGAAATGATAAAATGATGGAAACTTGAGCTGATAAATGTAAGTGGGTTTTGGTTGGCAGCTACTGGAGGAACCACCCAGCAATCATCTTTGGGCTGCTAGGGTGGTGGGGCACACTGGGGAACGCATTTGGAGCTCCCAGCCTGCCAGGCCTTGGACCCTCCACCAGCCTTCCCCAGGCTCTCTCCAACCCTCGAAGGGATGGCTATGGAACTCTCTATCGAGAAGGGACTGCTGCACTGCTCAACTCCATGGTCACCAACAGGTTTGCTTTCACCACCAACCAGGTGAGGGAGAGCTTCGTTTCGGCGCTGGGATCCAACAAGGCTGCTGCTGCCCAGGGACGTGTCTTCCAGATGGCCAATGAAGGACGTCTCAAGCCCAGAAACTAGCTTTGGTAGTAGAGGTTGAGAGTCAGTTGTCATGATGTAAGGTGTTTGTTCTGTTCACCACCACCATTATCATAGTCTGCAAGTGGTCTTCTGTCAGTTATCAATTACTTAGAATTTCTACATTTTATATGCTGATGTTGGTCTGTTTTATGTGTTCGTTACTTTAGTAATGTCTTTTATGTTTATCCCATTGAAGAGGACAGCTTTAGAGTGTTATGGATTTGGATGTTAAAGTTTTAATGCTTCACCAGCCATAGCAAGTTAGTTTTCTTCATCAGTTTCCGAGTTTAGTGAGAAGTTGATTGCACCGGATCCGGTTATCACTTAAGTGTTGCTTGTGCTGCATACTAACCACGTTAAAGTTTTTCTTTACAACTAAACTAGACAAGCTGGTTTAGAGCTAGTTGTAACATCACATTTTCCGTTCATAAGTTTAACAGTGGGTATCAAATTGCGATTTACCCCTCCGATAGCTGCTAACAGTACAAAGACGATTTGTTTAAGCAAGCCACCCAACCATTTTTCCCTCCTCTTGCGACTAACAGTGCGAGACTTTTTTTACAGCAATTCACACAACCTGCCTCAGGGCTTGATGCATTCGTTTATGTGAGAAATTAATCATGGTGATGAGGATGATTTACTGATTGATCCTATGATTATGAACCCTTCAGCCGGTTGAGGGTGTATCCTTTGCCCTCCAAAAAAATAGCTAAGGTTTAATAACTTGTTTTACAAGGAGGCGCAAAATTGCAATTTGATATGTAACGTTCAAGTTTATGGACGGAAAATGTGACTTGCAATAGTTGCAACTAAAAACCTTAAGTGGTTAGTAAAGTGAAGCCTAATAGGAATAATTGTAGCTGTGACATGATAATGCCGCGGCAGCGTAACCTGTGCTAATTACAGAGAACATCCTGCAGGGAGAAGTGAAAACGGGGATTTGAATGGATTCAATGGAATTGAATGTCTTCTGGGTCATTTCTGTGAAGCACAAGGGGGAGTAAATGCAAATAGGGAACAAGGGAAGGACGACACTTGGCCATGTTTGAATCAGAACCAACATAAATGCATACCTATCTCCTCCTGCATTTTATACCAAGCCATGGCATGCCATTCCATCAAATTTAAACCAAAGACTTCCAAATGTTTCCGTTTAACATTGTCTGAAATCGTCCAATAACAGCTTAGTAGAGCATATGTGCTCCGGCTACGATGGGAGACTTGTAGACTAATGCACCACAGCTACCTTATGAACTAACAGTTAAATGGGTTTATAAATGTCGACGATACAGAATGAAGCTAACAATTTTTTGCTGTAACATTGCAAAACATATGGCTACCTAAAGCGTCTCACCAAGGAATTAGATTGACTTTGGCTCCTTCATCACTCACAATCTAAGTGCGAGCCATCAATTTCGTTGCAGTCTGCTTTGCAAGTTGCTTCAATTTATTCTACATTGTCCATTTCTGAAGAGAATAAGATAGAAGCTTGCTCTAACTTGCTAAGCTCGTGATTGCATAATACAAATACTAATTAATGCCTACCATAAGATGAAAGGCTCAATTTTCAGATTAGTAAACAATACCTCTAACTACTAGCATTGGTGCAAACATGGAGAACTCCGAAATTATATTAAAAAAAAACGATGAAGCACTGACCTTGAAACTATCTGCTCCAATTCTCTCAATTTTGAGATGATTTTGCTGTAAGAAGATGCTGGAGTTTGCTTGAAATAGAAGAACTCCTCTTCATGTGGGATTCAAACCATTTAGATATGGCATCAGATGGCAAGCTCGTTTTTTCAAGAAATGCAAAAGCAAGGTTTAGTTCCTCCTGCACTTGCTGGAACAAAATCTTGTCCAGCTTGATTGTACTTCCTCAGCGCGCTTCTTTCCAGCGTGTAGCACGCTCTTCTTTTTTACATGTAACCTTGCTCATAAACAAAACATTTGTCCTTCAATAGATGAAACAACTTGGCTGAGGCATTTGGATCAAGTCCTCGACCTCTGTCAGCTAAGAAACTCTTTGACAAGGGAATGTCAAAGCATTCAACCTATCCAACATTGATACATTTACTCTTCAGCATCTCCAAATATACACTTATCTGTTGCTTTATGTGTACATCTTTCGGCGGCATGTGAATAAACAGAGTAGGTGGATAGTCCTCCGGGATATCTATCTCACCAAAAACCCCTTCAGCAATCATGATTGTAATACTACTCAACTTCAGATATGCAACACGAGCAGAAACAAAGTACCCACCAGAAGTGGCTGCCAAAGCAATAGGAGGAGCTTTGTGAAACTTATGTTTACCCACCCACCATTCTAGGATATCTTTCACTGTTAACATCTCTTCCCCCAAATGTCCAGCACCTTCCTCTACTTGACATTGTGGAAACAGCAAAGTTATGAGCAAGCGCATTTGATACCAGTAGCCTTTCCTCAGGCAACCCGATGCAATTAGCACTACAGGGAGATTTGTCCAGAAGTTAAGAGCCCTGCCATTACAGCAATGAACCAGAAATAGGATAGCTTTGGACCATTGATGTATATGCCATACGCCATTGGTTCCATTCCTTACTTGTTACTTCAACAGTCGCGTGATATTGATCTAATTCAAAGTCGCCCCTGCTCCAAGGTGCAGGTTGAGTAAGAAAAATAAAAGATGCGAGGATTCAAAACCACAAATAAGGATATGACTAGCAACCAACAGTTACTGAGTAGCGAGGATTTACTTCTGGTTCTACAGTTCAGCCTTCCTAAAACTATAAAAACAACTCAGTTCACCATATGGCTGCAGTTTGTGCACCAATATGATCAGCATAAGCTCACACAGACGCCATCAATTTCCAAATTAGGGAGCAGATCGAGTACAATGTTATATTGGTTTGTTTGTAGACTTCAATCTCAGGCAAGCAGTTCTATGTTATTAAAGTATCAAGCTATGCAATATCTACCCACCTAAATCAGGCAATAGTACCTGTTCATGAAGTCTGAGCAATTCCAGGAGAAACATTGCACAATATCTAAGTTCAATTTTCCCGACAAAGTGATCACATATGGAACATAGTGGAGTTAGATTATGTAGTCTTTTTCCCTTAAAAAATTGAACATCGGGCTATGTTAATGAACCATAAAATTGAACATCTCTTCAATTTCACAAAATCATCAAAACCAGAGCGTCAGAGGAAACCAAGCACCAACCATGTGAATGAGTAACCTTACAAGCTGCATGCTTCTCAGTCGACAAATAGACCAATTTGGAAGGTGCTTCTTGTCAATGCTCCTTCATATAACAAACTACAGTCTGCGCTGACATAGACATGATTATGCAGACATGAGCGCGTTAATTAAGCTCTCATTATCGCAAACCTGAGTGCAATCCTAGTCCTAATATGGATTCTAGTCATGTGTTCAAAAAGCAAGGAAATCAAGTGCCAGCAAAGATTCTAGTTCTTGGAAGACCTAAATGCAGGTATTCCTATCAAATCAGCTGCATACAAAGTAAACCATGTCAAATTAGAAATGGTCAACTAACGGTCAAACGAACGGAAAGTTGACGATTTGGATATTAGATTGTTTTCGAAAAGGTTTGGTTATTATATTGTTTAAAATAAAAGGTTTGGATATTAAATTGTATTTACCCAAATTAAAATTAAAACTAATTTTAAGATCTTGTTATTGGTCTATCCAAAGGTTGTCAACCCGATTTAACCCGTTGGTCTGATCAAGTAAGTGGTTTAAGGGTTAATGCACCAACAAATTTAGTTCAGTTTAGCTCAAATATATGCAAAAAAAAAAAATTATATTGTTCATATATTTATAATTATATCGATCTCATATAACATATTATATTATACCAAAATAACATATCGTACTTGGATCCAACATATAATGAAAATTCAGCGCAATTATATAACATCAATATGCAAATGTTCAACTAGAAATTCCAAAGATAAAGTTAAGCGAAGAGGAAAACCAGAAAATATGCATTTCACAAAGGAAAGTAAAAAACAATGTTATGTGACCACTAACTCGGTAGCCTTCAAAGTTCAAACCCACCACGAATGTGTCTATCACATTTTTCTCAACGAGTCTGGGTCTACTAGTGGGGTCGGGTCGGGCCAGGGAGGTGGCGGATAGTGCATATCTGTATAACGTCTATAAATTAATATAGTTGGGACCTTGCAAATTATTAATTTATAGTAGTTATTAATTAATTGATAAATTAATAATTATTCATTTAAAGAGGTTTTTGTTATGATGTACGTTCATCATATCTTCCAAATATTTCAAGTTCATATGATATGATTAATGGTATGTGTTATCGTAACAAGATGGATGTAAGTCATTTGTTGGAGTATCCAAGTGAAAATGATAAATGTATCGCGAAACAAACGTTTAAAGAAATTGTGGCTAATGTCATTGGGGGTTCAATTGAGGAAGCACTTAAAGCTGCATCGACTCTTCAAAAATACTTGTTGCAATTAGAGAAAGACAACACCGGAGACTTTGAGTGCAATGAGGAAAGTTCAAGATAAACTACTATTAGACTTGAACTTCAAGAATAAACAAACAACTATATATTTATATTTTTTTAGCTTATCCTAGCTACATTATAAATTTCTAGATGAATTGTAATTTTACTGTTATCAATTTATAGAATTAAAATACATGTATTTATGTAGGTTGGTTCTAAAAAATTAATATCTTATTATTTTATTAAATTTGCTCATTTTTTACATTGACCCAAGTCGGAACCAGAGGAATTATTAATTTACACTATTATTGATTTATCAATTATTAATTTAAAGAGGTTATACTATAAGAAACGGGTAGAAAATCAAAACCATGCACATACCCGTTCGGGTTGGTATATCCACGGTTATCCATGGGTAATAATTTATTTTTATAACTCCAACTAATATATTAATATTCACAAGTATTCTCACATTAGTAATATGAAAAGTACGACAATAATTCACTGTAATGAAGAAAATTAATTAAAATAACACAATTTTATGAAAATATTATATTTATATGCTAAATATAAAATATATTTAATTTGTTAAAAGTTTGGGCCATACAAAATATATTAACACATATAACTAAGTAAAAAACTACCAATAGTAAAATGTATAAATACAAATCTCAATCGTCTCAGGAAATGAAATCTATGACTTCTGTTGTGAACATTTCATGATCTGAAGTCTCTCTCCTCAAACAACCCAAGTACACAAGAAAGGGAAGAAGATGGGAGAGAAAGGACATACATAGAAGCATGATGAATCCATCAAGATAATAAATTTATTGTTTTCCTTCAATGATTAAATGGAATTGAAATGTCTGGAATGGGAAGTTCTTGTCATTAAGCTGCGCAGACACTAGATCTT